CTGAGGCAATCTCTGATCGTTTTGCAATGCTTGGCAGTCTGACAGACCCTGTTCTTCTGTGGGATACCTTTAAGCATGAAACGCTTGATGCAGCTCAAGATACGATTATGTACGCCCGAGAGCAGTACAGAATTCCATCTCGCAGGAGACACTGGAAGCCACAGATGCATGTCGTGCGGCTCGTCTGACTGGGGATCGGGAATTGCACCGTTCGTATGTGCGCAGAACTCGGTCCCTGTTAAGAAGGGACAAGGAACAGTTTATTATGAGTCTTGCAGAGGAGGTAGAAGGCCATTTCTTAGTATATGATCTTCGTCCTGCATACCAAGCCCTGAGAAAGCTGAACTCCAAGCCCTCTTCACAGGTGACAGCAGTTCGCTCAGTAAGCGGTCAGATCGTTTCAGATCCTGTTGCGGTGAGTGAACGTTGGGCTGAGTATTTTGAGCAGCTGTACCAGGTTGACCCACCAACAGTTAACTTGGATGCGGGTAGTGTCGAGATCCCGCTGCCGGATCCACCTATCAGCGAGTACCCTCCCTCCCTAACGAAGTTAGGGGGCGATTTCCAAGCTGAAGAGTGGTAAAGCAGCGGGTATCTGCGGCATACCAGCTGAACTGTTAAAGGCTGGTGGTGAACCTATGGCACGGGGGTTACATGCTGTCCTGGCTGCCATCTGGCGGTCCGGTTCCGTTCCTCCTGACCTGTTGAGGGGTGTGGTCATCCCTCTCTGGAAGGGGAAGGGGGACCCTTGGGACTGCAGCAACCACCAAGGCATCACACTGCTCAGCATACCAGGCAAGGTTCTCGCCCACATCCTTCTGAGACGTATGAGAGACCATCTACTGAGGCACCAGAGACTGGAGCAATCCGGATTTACTCCTGGTAAGTCCACAATAGACCGTATCCTCGCGCTTCGAGTCATTGTAGAGCACCGCCGTGAGTTCAGGAGTGGGCTGCTTGCAACCTACATCGACCTCAAGAAGGCGTTCGATACGGTGCATCAGGAGTCACTTTGGGAGATCCTGAGGCTGAGAGGAATTCCAACAAGGATTATTGGACTAATAGCAAGCCTGTATACTGGTACTGAAAGTGCTGTAAAGTGTGGTGGGGGCCTGTCGAGCTTCTTTCCTGCTAGTTCAGGAGTGAGGCAAGGCTGTGTCCTTGCACCAACTCTTTTCAACACTTGCATGGACTGGATACTGGGCAGAGCTACTGTTCAAAGTCATTGTGGAGCAACACTGGGCAATATCAAGGTTACAGACCTTGACTTTGCTGATGATGTTGCCATTCTATCTGAGTCTTTGGAAACCCTAGTGGCGGCTCTCGATGCATTTAGCAGTGAAGCGAAGCCCTTGGGTCTAGAGATCTCCTGGACGTAGACCAAGGTCCAGGAATTTGGGGACTTGTTAGGAGAACCTGTTCAGTCGGTACGTGCTTGCGACGAGGACATTGAAGTCACAGAGAGCTTTACATACCTTGGTAGTGTAGTTCATAACTCTGGGCTGTCAGACCATGAAGTCAGCAGACGGATTGGCCTGGCAGCAGGGGTCATGAACTCTCTCAACAAGAGTATTTGGAGATGTCGGTACCTGTGCAGAAGGACCAAGCTACGGGTTTTCAAGGCCCTGATAATACCAGTTTTGCTATACGGTAGCGAAACCTGGACATTGTCCTGTGCCTTGGAGGCTCGTCTTGAAGCCTTTTGTAATAGGTCCTTGCGCCAGATCATGGGGTACTGTTGGCGGGACCATGCGTCCAACCAACGGTTGCACCGTGAGACTGGCACAGGACCTGTTATCTGCACAATCCGTGATCTCCAACTCAGGCTATATGGCCACCTGGCTCGCTTTCCTCAGGATGATCCTGCCCATCAGGTCGTCTCTGTTCGAGACAACCCTGGGTGGAGGCCTGTGGGACGACTGAGGAAGTCGTGGCTTGGGCAGATCGACCAAACCTGCCATGAAGAAATAGAGATGGGCCGAGTCCCTGCCTGGCATCTAGCCATGAGGGATCCTCGTAGGTGGAAGCGAAGGGTGGATGCAGCTACGCGCCCCCGTCGGCGTCAGCCCCCTTGATGATGATTATGATGTGTGTAATACATATATTCATTATATATCTGTATCATTGTGTTTGTGCACAACTATATTTCATTAGTATTTCATATACTAACCTGCAAGGTGTAAATATGTTGCTCTAATTAATCCTTTATAGTAATCCCATGTTTGTTGCCAACTTTATAACATTGGATCTTCTTATAACCTTCAATAATGCAGTTAATTATACGCAGTCTTGTGAGATGCTGCTTGTTTAATTAAGATCTTGTAGGAGGAAGGATTAGTAGTCTATATACCTACTGGTTGGTGGCATGGGTACATAGAAAATGTATTATAAGGGTAATTTAAATATATTTTTAGTAATACCCAAATACAAAGTACAATATTAAATAGGAATTGTATACTTAATTCATATACATAACAATCATAAAGGCATATAAATATATAATTAATATACCACTATATATGTATATTCATTTTTACAAAAACATATATGATGCTCATATTTAGTAAATATCTATACATATATATGTATATCTATAGTTATGCATACATGTATATGTATATCTACAGTTATGCATACATATATATGTATATCTATAGTTATGCATACATATATATCTGTATATCTATATCTATGTATCTCTCTCTCTATATATATATTCCTTCACATTCCTTCACACACATACATCTATTTGTTTGTGTATTTTTCTTTGCTTGTGTTTTGGTACATACAGAAAGAGACTGACAAGCATACTTACTCACAAACACATTGATATTTAATACCTTTTTCAATATGTCTACACCTTAAACATAGCCTTACATTATGTTTTAAAGATATCCATTTGACGTCACTATCCCCTCACATGCCTAATCACATTAAATTTTTTTACCCTGTTGTTTTAGCAACTATCATTAACCTTATTTTGTGGATATGTACTTTATATACTGTGAAAATGGCAGAAAAAAACATACCATTGCTTTTGAACAAAACAAACAAAACAATTTATAAGCAATGAAATATGAAAATGAGGTAAGCACAAAATATGTTTTTTCTGGATATCACTTCTACTGAGTTATTGGTTAATAAAATAAAAAGATCTTACATGTTTACACACAATGACCAAAAATTATTTTGCATGTAATAGTCCCTAAAACACACAAACACACACATACAGATATATCTATATTCTGTATCCATGTACATGTATACATATAATACATATATTCATTTATTTATATATATATTTTGTATATATTTATTATACATATATTTACTATATATATATATATATATATATATATATATATATATATATATATATATATATATATATATATATATATATATATATATATATATATACATACACACACACATACATACATATAAAAGTATATATATACATATATTTATATAAATATATATACGTATACTTATATAAGTACATATATACATATATTTATATAAACATGTATATATCCCTACCATGCTAGGTCCAGAATTTTCTAAGGTGTAATCATTATGCAAGAGTGTGTTGTGTATATTTGGCCCATCTGCTCGCAATTCGTGATGCATATACACATCGTCATTGCCCAATGGCCATAGGTGTGCCTGTCCTTAAAAGGATATATGACGACACGGCTGCTGGATGCTGCTTTTCCTCACAGAATAACAAAAGACACAAAGATGAATTTTTCCCTAACATGAAGTCAATTAGCTTATCACTTGTGGACTGGCTCTTGGCTAATGCTTCACACACGCTGATGATGGTTGTCAACAAAATGTAAATGAAGATATGATGTACTAGTGTTCATTGTGATAAACATTAAAAAAAGATATGAATGAGAATGGATATCTTCATTTTGGAACAGATGCATTTAATGCACTTTGATCACATCTGCATCAGATGTACGCATGTATATCACAAGATATAATGAAACGCTTTAAACACAACTCTAGCAGTACAGAAATATTAATTTTCATTCATGCCTTTCATTCATCCCACGTAATTACTCATGGCATTGGGAAAGTACGAAATAATGCATAGATATGGTAGAAATATGTACATACAGATAGATGCAAGTTTCTGTAGTTTCTACCTGTAACTGTAACAAAAAAATCAGGATAGAAGTTACAACACTATGTCACAGGTATGTGGTTTCTCTTTTGTATGTAATCCTATGCATTTCACAAAGCCTGATTTATTTGAGAACTCTTCACTGTAAATCTCACAGCTGCGTGGTTTTCCTTTGCATGACCTCAATATTAGTGGCTATATGTAATAGAAAGAGTTGCAACTTTTTGAAACACCATTAGCATTAATGGCTGTCATTTGATTTCCCCAATGTGACATTAAGTCTATGAAGACTAAAATACAGGTAATAATACAAATAACTTGAAATATCATATAAAACAAAAGTCAGAAAAAGAGAACCTTCAAAATCTGTGATGCATCTGCCACAATAATGTCAAGAGGAAGTCTTTTTTTATTGATAATTCTCATGTGCCCTACGAAGTTTCTACTCTGGGTGAAGGCATAACTACAGAACTCATACATTTGACTTTTATGTACATCAGAGTATTCTTTCTTTCCAAGAGAATGCTTATATAGCTTCAATTTTGCATGCCCACACATAATCACTAAATCCTATTTCTTGGAGAATCCTCAGGCACATTGCTCCTTTGCAAGTACTTTCTTATGTAGTGCAGGAATATATTTTGGACATAAGGTTTTATCGGAAACCAAACATAAATGGCTTATCCATTGCATGTACTCTTATGTGATCCACTAAGACTGATTTATTAGTAGATCTCTCAGCTATTTGGTTTCTCCTTTGTATGTACCCTCAAATGTCTTACTAGCGAACCCTTCTCTGAAAAAGTTTTTTTGCAAATGTCACAGATGTATGGTTTCTCCTTTGTATGTACTCTCGAATGTCTTA